CAACTGTCTGCCAGTGGAACCATGTGAAGAAGGATGTGTCTCATTTGTGAATTTCTGCAAACGGAGGGGAATGTGCAAGATATCATAAAGGTGCTATCATCTACAGCTCTGATTCAGGGCTGAGCTAAAACCAAATTGGGACTAAACCATCGTGGCGAAAGTTTACTAACACATATTTCCGTGTCAAACTATGTTTATGTTAATATTTAAATTTATGTTATACTTTGTTCTTACGAAGAAAAAGAATTTATTGATGATGAAGTAGCTTAAGGATATCTCTTAGGTTAATTTATATTATCATTTTGATGTCTCAATGTAATAATTAACATTGAAACAAGTTTTACATTCACTTGAATGGCAAAGGGTTATTCTTTTTGAATTTATATATAATTGAAAATCTTTTGGCATTGACGTTCGAAGTTTTTAATGTACAAATGTGTAAAATTGTTGGTAGTTTCACACTAGAAACAAATTTTATAGGGCTGCACATTAGGGTGCGTTTGGCTTATTATTTCCCCATATTCACAATCTTATCTCCAAATATGTTTGACACTATTCCAGAAATATTAGCCTTTTTTAATTACTTTTAGACCCCATAGGTTTTATTTCATTAAATACCCCCTGAAAAAAGTTTAAAAATTATAAAAATACCCCACGACCCATACTTCCAGATTCTGGCAACCCCCATCGGTGGTAGCTAGAATCTGCCACAACGGTGAATTACCGACCGGAACTGCCGTTAATTTACTGCTGGCCTTTTCCAACCAGATCTATAATGGATCTGGTCGGAAAAGGCCAGATCTGGCCGTAAACGACGACTAAAGAAATGGCGCTTCATTACCGTCAACGACGGCCATTTCTTTGGCCATCGCTGATGGTCAAAGATGGCCTTCTTTGGCCTTTTCCGACCGTCGACGGCCATATATGGCCTAGATCTGGCCTTTTCAGCCAGATTTGTGGTGTGTCTAGCGAAAACCATAGCGATGCCATACCGCAGATTCAACCGGTATGTGTCGCAATTTTTCAGCTAGAGTCTGGCGGTGGTGGTGCCGGAATCTGGCACTGCTGGTGGGGGTCTTTTTGTCATTTTACATATTTTTATATACTGGGGTATTTATTAAATTAGCAAACTTACGGGTTTTTTTTATAATTTTTAAATTTTACCTCGCAATACTACCATATTCAATTATCCAATACTGTCTCCAAAATCCTATCCAAAATAATAAACCAAACGTACCCTAAAATTTTCAAGTCGTAAATTTTATATCTTATGTATTCCTCTCGAAGAAATACTTTCATGCCACATGGTATTTCACCATCGTGATTTATGTATTAAACTTAGGGGAGTTCTATGTAATTTTTCTTATAGTATCACATGTTTTTTTTCTAAATTCCTGTTTCTTTTCTTGAAGCAGACATTTGGGCCGTGTTTGGTTCATTATTCCTGCCCTATTCTCAATCCTATTCTCCAAATAATCTTTGGCACATTATTCCAGAAAATATTACCAGGTTCATTATTCCTGCCCATATTCTCAATCCTATTCTCCAAATAATCTTTGGCACATTATTCCAGAATATTACCTAATTTTTTAATTAGTTTTTAGACCCCATAAGGTTATTAATTTCATAAATACCCCCTAAAAAGTTAAGGGTCCATATTGGTGAAGAGGGGTATTCAAGATGTAGTGCACCAAGAAGGAATCCGACATTTCAACCTCGAGATTCTTCAATTGAGCCACAATATCCCTCATTTGCATGATATACTCGCGCACACCTCTCATATCGGTGAGTCATAGGGATGAGATCTTTATGATTAGGGTGCTTGTTAGTGCCTTGTCTAAAGTGACAAATTGATCATCAATGGCTTTTAGCAAGTCTTTGACCTTTTCATGCTGATCAACAGAACTACGGATACTAGCAGAGATTCTAGTCTTAATGAATATCACGCTGAGATGATTAGATCGCTCCCATCGTTCGTAAAGTACGATGTCTGATACCGTGCTAGTATCAATGAGTGCTGGTGGTTCGTCTTTCTTAATAGCATAGTCTATGTCCATCCACCCCAAATGAAGAAGAACTCTCTCCTTCCAGACCTTATAGTTATCTTCCTTAAGTTTAGGGATATCATAACGAATATCAGAGAAATTTGTATGTTGTACAACTGCATAAAATTATAGATTACATGCTTATATAAAACTGAGGCCTAAACAAAATATCATACTTTACCAATATAAATCATGCTTAAAAATTGAATCTAATTGACATAAAATTGTCTGAGGGCTAAATTTCTAGTTCAAGCATATTCATTTATTCTTTATGATAAAACTATCAAATTATTTACTAAATTCATAATTCCTATGGGTAATTTATGAATAACTTGATATTTTATCCTAATTAATAATAAAAATTCATGTGGGAAAAAATTTATTATATTAAGTATAATTAATTACAATTAATGTCTAATATTCTTTATGTGATCATAATCAATCATAATATACAATTTTATTTAATTAAAGATGTTGTGGTTATTCTCTAATTAATTAAAATTATATGGATCACTAGACATTAAATCCCATAAAGACTAGCTTAATATTACGAATTACATAATTTTAACAAATACTAATATGTTATTATTATGCACAAAATATTCTCATAATATAAGCATAAATATTGCATAATTAAACTATAATATTTTGCATAACATTTAATATTATGTCTTTGACTAAATATATACTCATCCAAAAATAGCATGTATTAATATAGAGCAGAAATAATTAATTCATGCAAACTAAATATGAGCATATATAATAAATAAATTTGCACAACAATTATCCAAATTGCATATAATTAAATCAAATAAAAATTATAAGCACAACAAAATAGCAGAACAATTACAAGCACAGAGGACGAGGCCCAAAAACCCACTACACAAACCAATTATCCAAATTGCATTAAATGTTGTTTTTCCCAATACAGAATGAAGGCTGCCTCAACTAAACGACATGTCGTTTCGTCCAAAAACCAAAACTACATGTCATTTTGGTTGTCTTCAACCTCCAGATTGGGTTGCAGATCACGCCCTTTTTTTTTTTTTTTTTAACGCTTTTGTTGTCAAAAAACATTTTTTTTAATCACAGAAAGCTTAGAAAAACTATTTCCACCTGATTTCTAATCTTCTTTCGAATAAAAAGATCTAGAAATCAAAACTTTAATTTTTAAAACTTTCGGTCAAAAACAGAGATAAACAGAGCATAATTCCAACATCAAGGTAGAGATAAAACCTGGCTCTGATACCAAATGTTAGCATAAAATATGATTCTATAATGCAGAATAAATACTTTAAAACAAAATCGAAAAGCTTAATCCCAAAGAAACAGTACCTCCAGCCATTGATGTTCCTCACGGTTTTGCTACGACCTCTCACTAATATTTGGTACTTCCAAACTCTACTCACTCTATTTAGATGGTGTAAGACTGAAGGGGATTGAGTGATTGAGTCTGGGGACCAAACTGTTGTATTTATAGCCAAAGCTTTCATCAAGCTTCGGCGGCTACGTGTCCCACTTGTTCAGTTTATCATGGGGCAGTTCCACATTCTATGAACGTGATGAATATCCGAGTGGACCACTTCAGGTGCTCCTAAAATGAAGGGCAGCTGGAGACTCGTTCTTACGAACGGCCTCCGTGAGAAATGGTCAACAATTTGTTTTGTTGATATCTTGAAGATCATATGATTTAAAGAGTAATGCTACAGTTACCGACTGGTGTGTACCGATTTTGTGCACCGAATGACGTGGCACAATCCTGACCGTTTATTTATTATCAGTTAATATTAATCAACGGCCAGGATTTTGTCACGTCATTCGGTGCACAAAATCGGTACACACCAGTCGGTTGCTGTAGCATTTTCCTTTTCAGTTTAGAAGATGAAAAAATATTTTTTTTCTCTGTTCAGTAAATATTTCAATTGGGTTTAATCTGCAGATCTAGGGGTTGAATAATGGATTTAATGGGTTGATTTTGGTTATAAATTGTTTAGTTTATATATACTTGTAGAGCGCTAAATAATAAAAACTTAGGGTGCCTTTGGCTCTCTATTTTTATCCATATTCCCAATCATATTCTCCAAATAATGTTTGGCACATTATTCCAGAAATATTATCCTATTTTTTAATTACTTTTAGACCCCATAAGGTTATTAATTTCACTAAATACCCCCTGAAAAAAAGTTTAAAAATTAACAAAAACACCCCCATCAACCCAACTTGTCAGATTCCGGCAACCACCATCGGTGATAGCCGGAATCTATACAACGGCCTAAATTCCGACCATAAATGGCCGAAATTTCACCGATCTCCATGGTCTGGCCGTCGTCGACGGTCAAATCTTGGCCGTCGTTGACCGAAAACGATGGCCACATGTTTGGCTGTCGCTGACGGCCATAGATGGCCGTCATTTTGGCCTTTCCGGCCGTCGACGGCCATAACAGGTCGTAGATCTGGCCTTTTCCGGCCAGATACGTGGTGGATCTGGCCGGAAAAGGCCATAATGACGCGTTACGGCACAGATCCGACAAGTATGTGCCGTAACGAAATTTTCCGGCCAGATTCCGACGGTGGTGGCCGGAATCTGGCACTGCAGGTGGTGGGGGTGTTTTTGTCATTTTATATATTAGGGTCTTCAATTAAATTAGTAAACCTATGTGTTTTTTCATAAATTTTTAAAATTTACCTCGTAATACTCCCCTATCCAATAACCCAATACTATCCCTAAAATCCTATCCAAAATACTACACCAAACGCACCCTTAAATTTTTAACTTGAAATGTTGATGTGATTATATAAAGAAGCACATTTAACAATGTTCAATTATCTCTTAGGTTTTATATATTATTGATATTTTATGACTGATAAAGCTACAAATTTATTATGTAGAAAATCTCGGATTCTTTTGTGAAGCACTTGAATGGATTCCTAAAGAAAGATGTGCTTCGAAATCGAATGGGAAAGCGTTGGCATGTGGAGATGGCCTACACTGATAGTATGGTGTTATTTGCAAATGGCTGGCAGAAGTTTCTTGAAGATAATTCTGTAGAGCCTGCAGATTCTTTAGTTTTTAGCTATGATGGTGATCATATATTCGATGTTTTGATTTTTGAGAAATGTGGATGCAAGAAGAAGGAAAATAGTGCTAATGTGAGCATTGACATGAAGGTGAAGATGCAGGAGAAAGAAGATGAGGATGACAATGTTGTTATTGATGTTGATGATGAGTGGGTTAGAGTTGGTGTCTTAGAGCCAATTAATTATTGTAAAATTGACTCTTTGTAATAATGTTTATTAATCAATAAAAGACGATTTTCTTCTATATCATGTATATCATAATTGCGTGCATTGATATATGTTCTTATAATGGTAGAATCGTGACGAGGGTATCAAGTATTTTAAATCTTGATAGTAAGAACCCTATGATCACATATGGTATCTATTCTAGAAATGTTCATAGTCTTAGTATTATTCTGACCAAGGACATAAATAATACGGTAAGACTATCATAATGTTGAACGATCATGTCGAAAGACAGTGACTAATCTCACTTGTCAATGTTATTTGTTGACAATCTGGTACGACACATGGGTGTTTGCTATAGGCGAGTTCATTGAACAAACCCACTAGAGGATTTCATATAGATGGTAACCCTAGGTCTATGGAATAAATCATCTAACAAATGGTGGTGCATGTGATCCTTAAACTTGAGATCACCGAAGCGTCTTGTGCACCGATTGGTGTAGTTTGACACAAGCCTAACGTAGTTCTATTCAGAGCTATCAATACGGAAGTAATTGACTGCATTGAGAAGTGTATCAAGACTATGGTGGATCAACAAATGATTCATTACTCCTGGGTATAGGAGAAGTTATCTCACGGCGAAATTCAGTGAATGGTAATGACACTAAAGTTGTGGCCACAGTGGGATTGAGTTGTTGCTCAATCCAATTTATTATTCCAGTCATTGGTCCAATAACCGAATACAAAGATATCGAGGATATATAAGGTTGACACTATTTTTGTACCTCAACCTCAATGAGATAACGCATGATGAAATGATTTGATTACATGGTAACCATATCATTGACAGGCTGCGATTTCGCTAAATCCGAATCTATCAGTTGGCCATGATGTCTTGCTAGGGGCCAATCTTGATCTGTGTGTAGTGAGACGATTAATTGGAGTTAATCACAATACTACTCACTGAGAAGCCTATAGGTTACACACTTAGAAGACAATTTAAGAATCAGTTTATGAGAGGGGTATTTTCGTCTTTTTTAACGAAATAATATTTTGATAATCTCATAATGCAATTAAATTTTATGGGGTTGTTGCTTGTGTTTAATTTTAATATCAATATTAAAATTAATGAGATTATATTTAAATATATGTGTGCATGTATTTAAATGGATTATTATTATTTATTTAAATGTTAATATATTATTGTATATATATTAATTAATTTTAATTGTAATAATAATTAAAATTTAAAACACCAATTAAATGGTGTTTGGTTGCAAGGGTGAACTATGGTTGGAGCCTATGCCTATTCCTAAATGGAATAGGGTTTTTAATTGTTGCACTATATAAGTGCAACTTAAAATTAAAAATACATGAGAATTATTCATTCAAATAAAACCCTAGCCACACAAAAGCTCTCTCTCTCTCTCTCACGTTTTCACTCTCTAGTGCAAGAGAAAAATTTCTGTTTCTTTTAATCTTTCTTGATTCTTAAAGCCCTTGGTTATTCTAGCAAAATAATCAAGGGTTTAGTTGATTGTCTTCGTATGGACAATGTGAGTGCGTTTCTACATTGAATCGAGTAGCGAAATCAGATCCGAAGATATTTGGAGAAGCAACCAAACGTGCATAAGCCTTTTGAATCCTTGTATGGATTTATTATATTGTTGTAATGCAGAATTCATAAACATTATAATTTGTACCTAGATTTGGGATTAAGCATTTAATCGGTTTTTATTTGTGTTGAAACTATGTTTTTCCGCTGCGTATACCCGATCACTTGCTAACAAAGTGTGGTGGTGCAAATAATGACAATTATGAAGATTGTATCAAAGAAGAAGAAGCAACTAACCGGAACTATACTCTCTCAGTGACTCCCCCCTTTTTCTGGTGGACTCAGTATAGCTCGGCCGATAGCTTCTCGAGTTTCTTGCTGCTGGCGAATTGTTCAATGAAGGTATTGGTGAGTTGGGCGAATGAGCTGATTGAATTATTTGGAAGGTTAGTGTACCACTGAAGAGCTGGTCCGGAGAGGCTTGAGCTGAAGCTCTTACATATGCAAGCTTTCCTCAATGTTTGGGGTATCGAATAGGCAAAAATTCATTGCTTGTATGAGGCTATATGGTCATCTGAATCGGTCGTGCCATCGTAAGGCTTCATGCTGAGGATGGTGAATTTGTGAGGCATCTTGGCTAGCGCGATTGCATCCGCAAATGGTGAATTGGCATAGCAGTGAGGTTGGCTCTCTTTGGTTGGGATTGGTACTCCATGTATACGCCTTATCATTGCCTATATGTCAACCAGTCTTTTGGCCAATATCTACTCCATGGGCAAGGCAGAGGCCACTAAGTCGTCCTAGTTGACTCGGTTGGTCATATGATTCGCATTCGGTGCGTTTCGTTAGGTCAAGTCACGTGGTGTAGCCTAATGAACCATTCCATCGTGTGCCGCTTGGTAGCCCGGATCTCCATTCACTCCTTTCGGTGGGTGGCTCCCATTATGATTGATTGGGTGTTTCATCCCGCATGGATGGTGAGAGGGGTTATTTGGGAGTCGCTCAGTATGTGGGGATGGATGGACTCAAGCAGGATGGTTTGAAGGTGAGGGAGCCCGCTCGACCCACAAGGATGAGTCGAGCCGAGTGGGGTTTGGGTAGGAATGTTTGATTGAGGATGAGACGGGATGGCAAGGATGGGTGACTCTTGTTGTGGTGGGCTCTCTCTTACTTGGATGTCTTGATCTTATGCCTGAAACGGGTCGATCGAGAGTAGCTCTATCGGCAGTCCTGCTCAATATGATTCAGGGCTGAATCATCCACTAGTAATGAATAAAGTTGTCACGACCTTGTATCCGAGATCATTGGTCTGTGCTTTGGAGTTTGGAGATGTTGCATGGACAGAACCGATGTGCGGAATTGATTGGGTTGTACCTGACAAGGCTGAAGTCAACGTCATAAAATTGACTTACCTTCTCTTTTAGAGATTGGTTTTTGGCCTTGATGGAGGCGTTTTCAGTCCGAATGGCAGTGTTCTAAGCTTCCAATGCTGTCACCTTGTCTGAGTGTTGTTGCATAAGGGCAGTCAAAGCTTCCAGTCTGGCCTTGAGGCCAAGATTAGTGCTATCAGAATTTTCAGCCATAGAGAGTTTCTTTATGAACCAGGATCCGAGAGATGAATGATTACCAGAGGCCCCACGGTGGGCACCAAACTGTAGATGCAAAAATCTACTTTTACGAAAATATAGACTGATCCTGGGAGGTTGAGGCCACTAACAATCTGTTGTGCCTTCACACGCAAGAAAACTAGCGTGAAGCAGATGGAAAACACCAGGGTGGTGTTTGCCATAGGCACTCCGACGCTCAAGTCAACAAGGCTGAGTGAGGCTAATGTAGTGAGGGTTAGGGAGATAAAAGGTTACCAGAAGTCTAGTCGGAGACTATAACTACGACTATAATGCAAAGTTCTCAAGAGTGGGAACTGCTAGGTCTGAAGGTGTAATGTATGTCCCCTTGTGAGAGGGTTGGCCTCTGTTTAAATAGTGATTGTGAGATATTCGAATCCTTGTGGGACTGAGAGTCCTTGGAGTTGAAGTTTTGTGAAAGAGGAGAACCTTTGGCTTCCTTACCTCAGTAGGAAAAGGAGTCCCAGCGTGTCTAAGACACCAATCTTAGACGAATTAGAGTAGTGATGGACCTCTTTAATAGAGTTCGGATAGTACCAGGGTACGTAGGCGACCCTAGGCTCTAAGTAGATCCTAAGTCTAGAAGGTGGTCTAGGATCAGAGGGGCTGGACCTAGATAAACTGGCAGTGAGGCCTAAACGAATCGGGCCTCTGCTGATTGGGTCCAAATGGTGAGCCACTAGGTAGGTGTACCGAACGGACTTGATATGCAACACTCTATTACGGGCCCAATCGAAATTGGGCCCTGGCTTCAAGCTTTGTTGAAGGTGTCTTCGTCTTTGGGCCTATTTGGGCCGAAGACATTTTTTGGCCCTAACATGAGGTCAAACCATTTACGATATATTTGTTTATGGTAGAAATCTCTTTCTCATTCTGCAGAATGTTTCATCAAAAGTCTTGAAAGATTTTAAACTTGAATTAGCCGAAAACATTTTCTTTCATGATGAACTTGAGCGAAAATGGTGTGGAGAGGTTTTCAATTGGAAGGATGGTCGACCAATTATTCGTGGGTGGGCAACTGTCTGCCAGTGGAACCATGTGAAGAAAGATGATGTCTGCATTTGTGAATTTCTGCAAACGGAGGGGAATGTGCAAGATATCATAAAGGTGCATATCATCTACAGCTCTGATTCAGGGAGCTGAGCTAAAACCAAATTGGGACTAAACCATCGATGGCGAAAGTTTACTAGACACATATTTCCGTGTCAAACTATGTTTATGTTAATATTTAAATTTATGTTTATACTTTGTTCTTACGAAGAAAAAGAATTTATTGATGATGAAGTAGCTTAAGGATATCTCTTAGGTTAATTTATATTATCATTTTGATGTCTCAATGTAATAATTAACATTGAAACAAGTTTTACATTCACTTGAATGGCAAAGGGATTATTCTTTTATGAATTTATATATAATTGAAAATCTTTTGGCATTGACGTTCGAAGTTTTTAATGTACAAATGTGTAAAATTGTTGGTAGTTTCACACTAGAAGACAAATTTTATAGGGCTGCACATTAAGGGTGCGTTTGGCTTATTATTTTTACCCATATTCACAATCTTATTCTCCAAATAATGTTTGACACATTATTCCAGAAATATTAGCCTTTTTTTAATTACTTTTAGACCCCATAGGTTATTAATTTCATTAAATACCCCCTGAAAAAAGTTTAAAAATTAATAAAAATACCCCCACGACCCATACTTGCCAGATTCTGGCAACCACCATCGGTGGTAGCTAGAATCTGCCACAACGGTGAATTACCGACCGGAACTGGCCGGTAATTTACTGATCTGGCCTTTTCCAACCAGATCTATAATGGATCTGGTCGGAAAAGGCCAGATCTGGCCGTAAACGACGACTAAAGAAATGGCCGTCATTAACCGTCAACGACGGCCATTTCTTTGGCCATCGCTGATGGTCAAAGATGGCCTTCTTTGGCCTTTTCCGACCGTCGACGGCCATATATGGCCGTAGATCTGGCCTTTTCCAGCCAGATTTGTGGTGGATCTAGCCGGAAAAAGCCATAGCGATGCCATACCAGCTAGATTCAACCGGTATGTGTCGTAACGCAATTTTTCAGCTAGATTCTGGCGGTGGTGGCCGGAATCTGGCACTGCTGGTGGTGGGGGTCTTTTTGTCATTTTACATATTTTTATATACTGGGGTATTTATTAAATTAGCAAACTTACGGGGTTTTTTTTATAAATTTTTAAATTTTACCTCGCAATACTACCATATTCAATTATCCAATACTGTCTCCAAAATCCTATCCAAAATAATAAACCAAACGTACCCTAAAATTTTCAAGTCGTAAATATTTATATCTTATGTATTCCTCTCGAAGAAAATACTTTCAATGCCAACATGGTATTTCAACCATCGTTGATTTATGTATTAAAACTTAGGGGAGTTCTATGTAATTTTTCTTATATGTATACACATGTTTTTTTTTCTAAATTCCTGTTTCTTTTCTTGAAGCAGACATTTGGGCCGTGTTTGGTTCATTATTCCTGCCCATATTCTCAATCCTATTCTCCAAATAATCTTTGGCACATTATTCCAGAAATATTACCAGGTTCATTATTCCTGCCCATATTCTCAATCCTATTCTCCAAATAATCTTTGGCACATTATTCCAGAAATATTACCTAATTTTTTTAATTAGTTTTAGACCCCATAAGGTTATTAATTTCATTAAATACCCCCTAAAAAGTTTAAAAAATAACAAAAACACCCCTGTGACCCATACTTGTCAGATTCCGGCAACCACCGTCGGTGGTAGCCAGAATCTCCCACAACGGTGAATTACCGACCGGAGCTAGCCGGTAATTCACCGGTCTGGCCGGAAGCGACGACCAAAGAAATCTTGGCCGTCGTTGATTGAAAACGATGGCCATACCTTTGGTCGTCGCTGACGATCAAAGATGGCCGTCATTTTGGCCTTTTCTGGCCGTCGATTGCCATAGCAGGTTTCCGAAGAGATCTATGGTGGATCTAGCCGGAAAAGGCCATAACGACTTGTTACGACACAGATCTGACTGGTCTATGTCGTAACGCAATTTTTCGACCAGATTCCGGTGGTGGTGGCCGGAATCTGGCACTACAGGTGGTAGGGGTATTTTTGTCATTTTATATGTTGGGGTGTTTAATTAAATTAGTAAACCTATGGGCTTTTTTATAAATTTTTAAATTTTACCTCGTAATACTCTCCTATTCAACTACCAAATATTATTCCCAAAATCTTATCCAAAATAATGAACTAAACGCACCCTTGGCTGTTATTCTCGAACTAGACGGTTTTTTTTTGAGTTAAATGATAAATATTTGTGGAGAAATATTAATAGTTAAAATAAGAAGTGCTTTTTCTGAAAAAGCTAATTAAATGAGAAAAGGAAGTTAAAAAAAGGGCATAATACCGGCATATTCCCAGAAGTTATTGCAATGGTTAGACAAAAACGCAAATAATCAAATTTAGTATTGATGTTTATTACTTATTAGTAATTATGATTTTTTTTTAAAGTACTTTTTCTAAAACTCTAGAAGGACTTCCCAGAAGTTATGTTGAGACTTGAGCCTGGGAGGCTGGGATCCGGCCCCTCATTTCAGAGATTTTGCCTGCTTACACTCTGCAGCTTTCAGAGCTTCTAGTCTGAAACGCAGTGGCTAGGTACCTTTTTTTTATTGCTCTAGCTGTCAGCCTGTCACTTTCATTTTCTCCGAAAGTACTTTTCTTCTCCAAAATCCTCAGAAACTGAAGAGAGTAATGGCAGGCAACACACACAACAGCAAAAACAAGAGATCGCATGGCTCCTGCCAAAGCAAGGCTATGATGGCCTGGTAATTTCATTTACTCTCTCTGTTTCAGCACATTCTTTTCTGGGTTTTTTTGTTTTGTGGTTTCTTTGATATGGATGATGAAAAGTTTGATTCTTTACTGTTCTATTGTTGATGGGTTGCAAAAATATGTAGTAAAAGTGAAGAAATCTGTTAGCTTTACAAGCTCTGAGTTTTGTTGTATGTAAAATTATGAATTGTAGTACTCATGAGTTTTAAGACTATTGTTAAATTGAACAGGATTCCAATTTAGAAAATGAAAAAAAAAAAAAAAAATCAACTGGCAATAACATATTGTTTAGCGAATATTTAAGTGGGTAGATTTTGGAGTTACCAACTAGGACTACCCGGATGGTCCGGCCTGTGAGTTGTTTTTATGAAAAAACCGTCGAGGGTTCCAACTTCGAACTCTTGTTCTCTTTTAATTTGGTGGGTTAATGTATTGAGAGCAATTGAGAGAGGAAGAAAGTTTAAATCTTTCTCATATTATAATAAGTGCTTGTGAATGATAAAGTCACTTTATTAATTAGATCGAATGGAGCTTCAAGTTTGCTTTAGGCCAAGGATCAGTTTTTGTGAATACTTTTTACTGATATGAAAATTATGCAGATGATGAAACTGATTTCTTCTATTTCTGCTGCAGAAAATCCCAGATGCTTTTGTGGAACACTTGAATGGATCTCCAAAGAAGGTTGTGCTTTAAAATTCAATGGAAAATTTGTGGCTTGTATAGATGAATTATACTGATAGTGGGGTGTTTATTCTGAATGGTTGGCAAAAGTTTTTCCGTGATAATTCCATCGAGCCTGGCGAAAGTTTGTGAAGATGGAGGAGGAAAGGAGGAAGAAGATGAAGATGACATTGTTGTTCTTGATGTTACTGAGGATTCAGATGCTGAAAATGTTTTCTTATGAACTCCTTTGAAATCTGTCCACCTTCATCTTAAAACAGCTTCAAAGAGAAGTGAATTTGCATATGGAAGTAGATTGTTCTGTTGAGTTATGGTAAAGTGATAAGTGTTTTTGGATACATTTTAATGTCATTAATCAAATTCCGCGTCTTAAACTTGAAAATCAATTACCTAATATCGTTAACAATAACATAACTTAAATTCCTATAAGTTGCACAATTATGCAAATTTAACATATACTAACAAGTGTTTGAATTTAGTCATTTACACTTCACATCTAAAGGTATTTTTGGTTGGTTTTTTTATTTTTAAAACTGAAAAGCACTTCCCTCAAAATACGAATCAAGACTCAAAGCTTGACTGCTTCATCTGGGTTCATTTAACAGTTGCTTGTTGAACCAGTTTCTCCATTCTCCAAACAGACCTCAACCCATTAACCTCTAACAATAAGCCAATTCAACAATGCAGGCCCTCAGTTTTGTCTTTTGCGTGTCAAAACTGTAGATGTTTCAGATTTTCAGAAATATAATTGTAATAAAATAAATGAAAAAGAACTGAAATTAAAAGAGCAGAATAAAGAGAGCTGAAATAAAAGTGATTGGTAACTTCACATGGAGACTGCATGATCCATTTGTACTTGGTCAAGCCATTTTTCATTGACAACAAATGTGGCATGAGTGTGGAAAGCCACGTCATCTATAACAAACCCATTATTTCTTATATTAATGACTACTCCTCGGCTTAAAAGAACTCATCATTTTTCTTCTTCAAGAAGCTAGCTCTACCTTTGCTTCTGCAGTTCTGCTCACAAACACACAGAGAAAGAAATGGCGTCCAAAACAAACAAGAAGGGAGTAGCTCATTTTTTCAAACAGTTTCTTCCAAAGCATGGCTGTGATGGATTTGTAATCTCTTTAACTCTCTCTATTTTTTTTTTTTTTCATTTATCTGGGTTCGTTTGTTTGCTTGTTTTGTGATACATTTTGTATGCATTCTGAAAAGTTTGGTTCTTTAACCTTTACTGTTTTAATGTTGATGGGTTGGGAAAATAAGTGGGAAGAGTGGATAAAGTTCTGAGCTTTACAAGTCTAAGCTTTTTTTTATTTTTTTTATTTTTTTTTTCTGTTGAATGTGTTGAAAAGTTTGGTTCTTTACTGTTGATTGGTTGCAAAATGAGTAGTAAAAGTAGATCAAAATTATCTTTATAAGCTCCGAGCTTTATATCCTTTCAATGGAAGTTATTTATTGTATATGAAGTTTATTTTGTTGATACCTTGAAGATGATCACATATGATTTTCAGTTTAGAAAATGAAAAAGGATTTTTTTTTTCTCTGTTTAGTAAATATTTCAAGTGGGTTTAATGGGTAGATATAGGGTTTGAATAATGGATTTAATGGGTTGATTTTGGTTATAAATTGTTTAGTTTATGTATATTTGTAGAGCGCTAAACTATAACAACTTAGATTTTTAACTTAAAATGTTGATGTGATTATGTAAAGAAGCACATATAACAATTTTCAATCATCTCCTAAGTGTTATGATTGATATCTTATGACTGATAAAGCTAGTAATTTGTTCTGTAGAAAATCCCGGATGCTTTTGTGAAGTACCTGAATGGATTCCCGAAGAAAGCTGTGCTTCAAAATCGAATGGGTAAGCGTTGGCATGTGGAGATAGCCTACACTGATAGTATGGTGTTATTTGCAAATGGCTGGCAGAAGTTTGTCAAAGATAATTCTGTAGAGCCTGCAGAGTCTTTAGTTTTTAGCTATGATGGTGATCGTATATTCGATGTTCTGATTTTTGAGAAATGTGGATGCGAGAAGAAGGAAAATAGTGCTAATGTGAGCATTGACATGGAGGTGAAGATGGAGGAGAAAGAAGAGGAGGATGGCAAAGTTGTTATTGATGTTGATGATGAGTGTGGTGGTGCAAATAATGACAATTATGAAGATTGTATCAAAGAAGAAGAGGCAACTAACAGGAACTGTAGAGGCAAAAAGACTAGTTGGAACAATGGTAAACATCTATTTTCTCTTCTTCATCTAAGAGTAAATTTATGTGCATGTTTGAATTTTATGCTAATGTGTGATGGTGTAACTATAACATATTGGTTAAATTTGATGCAGGAGGATCTAAGAGAAGGGCTGCTGTTAACGCTGGATTGCATGAAGGAGTTGGCGCAGTCAGTCATGATCAACCTCAGAACCCCTACTTCATGTCGAAAAACAATGGGTACATGAAGAATCACTTGGTAATGATCTGTAAACCATAGTGTACATTATGCATAAATATGATGATCATAATTTGATATTTTGATTTTTGGGAAATGTGGATGCAAGAAGAGAGGAACTCGCCCTTATGTGAGTAACATGAAGGTGAAGATGGAAGAGAGAGAAGACGGCAGTGAAAATGATGGTGATGGAGATTATATCAAAGAAGAAGAAGACGAGGAGGAAAAGGATACAAAAGAAGAAGAAGAAGCAACTAACCGGAAGCGTAGAGGCAAAAAGCCTGGTGGAAACAATGGTAAACGTCTATTTCTCTTCTTCATCTACAATTAAATTTATGTGCCTGTTTGAATTTTATGCTAATGTGTGATGGTGTAACTATAACCTACTGGTTAAAGTTGATTCAGGAGGATCTAAGAGAAGGGCTGCTGTTAACGCTCGATTGCATGAAGGAGTTGACGTGGTCAATCATGTTCAACCTCAAAACCCCTACTTCATGTCCAAGTGGTATAAGAAGCAATATTTGGTAATGATATCTCTGCTCATCTATAAACCATAGTTTACATGGTTTGGTTTGGCTTGAATTTACTGTGGTCAAACCATTTACGATATATTTGTTTATAGTAGAAATCTTTCTTTCATTTATGCAGAATGTTCCATCAAAAGTCTTGAAAGATTTTAAACTTGAATTAGCCGAAAACATTTTCTTTCATGATGAACTCGACCGAAAATGGCCTGGAAAGGTTTTCAATTGGATGGATGGTCGAACAGTGATTCATGGGTGGGCAACTTTCTGCCGGTGGAACCATGTGAAGAAAGATGATGTCTGCATTTGTGAATTTCTGCAAACGGAGGGGAATGTGCAAGATATCATAAAGGTGCATATCATCCGCAGCTCTGGTTCAAGGAGCTGAGCTGAAACCAAATCTTTATAACTATGTTTACGTTTATAGTTTGTTCTTAAGAAGAAGAAAAAGAATTCCTTGATGATGAACAAGCTTAAGGATATTTCCGTAGGTGAAATTGATGTTCAGCTGGTGGTACATCTTCAGACTTTAACTTTCCAAGTCTTATTTAAAATTTTTATTTTGAAATATTAAAGTTTCCTTTATTAAAAAAATTGATTATGAATGTCTAAATCATATTGTAGCATCGAAATCATTAACTTTTCTTTTATTTGACAGACATAATATTATTAATATTGGGTCATCAAGAATGTGGTATAAATATCATATGTCTCAATACTGTTATTATTAACATTGAAACAAGTTTTATATTTAATCTCACTTGAATGCCAAATAGGATTAGTTTTCCTATGAATTTTATATAATTGAAAATTCTCCAAAATGGATCTTTGATGTTTTTAACGTACAAATATATGAAACTAAAAGTGCTTTTCTAAAACAAGCTAATTAAATGAGAAAAGGAACTTGGAAAAACAGCATATTCAGTAGTTCACTGGAGAAAAATGGTTAGACACAAATAATCAATTTAGTTTTGATCTCTACTAGTGATAAATTGATAATTAGAGCATATACCTTAAATTTTTTTTTTTTTTTTTTTTTGGAATTATGTTAAAAAAATAAAAAAAGTGTTTTTTCGAAAAGGACTTCCCAGCAGTTACGTTAAACCAGGGATCCGGGCCCTCACTTCAGACTTTCTGCCTGCTTACACTCTGCAACTCTCAGAGTTTCCAGTCTGTAACTCACTGTCTAGGTACGATATTTTTATTGCTCTAGCTCTTGCTCATGAGAACTCAAACCCTCAGAAACTGAAGAGAGAAATGGCAGCCAACACAAACAACAACAACAAAAATAAGAGCACGCATGGCTTCTGCAAAGAGTACCTACCAAAGCATGGCTTTGATGGCTTGGTAATTTCATTTACTGTCTCTGGTTTAGCATTTTCTTTTCTGGGTTTGTTTGTTTTGTGGTTTCTTTGCCATGGATGATGAAAAGTTTGGTTCTTTTACTGTTGTATTGTTAATGGCATTGCAAAAATATGCAATAAAAATGAAAAAAAGTTGTTGGCTTTACAAGTTCTAAGCTTTGTTTCTGCCAGTTATTGCATTTGAAGTTTTGGTGAATGTAACATGATGAAAGGTATTATTAATGAAATTTAAAATGAAACATGATTCCAAGTTGGAAAATGAAAAAATAAAAATAAAAATCAACTACCAAGATCATTTTGTTTAGCAGATATTTTAAATGGGTTTAATGGGTGAAAAATTTGGAGTTATATAAGAGGGTTAATCGTTTGGTCAAATTTGTGGTTTGTTCCTACAAAATTCGGCAAGTGTTTCAATTTCGAACACCTGTTGGTAAAACGAGTTCGTGGGATTCTGAATTTGTTGTGTTTGAGAGCAATTGAGAGAAAAAAGATTTTTAAAAAATACTGCTCAAAATAATAAAACAAACATAGCCATAGAGGTTCAGATTATCAGAAGTGTTGGCTCAAGAGCAAAGTCAAAACTGAATCAGACTGAACCATCGGTGGGGAAAGCTCGGTACACATTTCCACATCAAATTCTTAAAGAAAAAGAAGAAAATGAATTCTTGATGATGAACAAGCTTAAGTATACTTCAAAGATACGCATCTCAATTAATCCTCCAGGGCTTTAAAACTGTCGGTTGTGTAAGAATCTCAGTTACCATCCTTATTAGTGTCTGGGGAGATTCGAACTCAAGAACTCATGAAACTTCTTTTTGCTCTTTTACTATCAGATTACCCAGTATAGTTTCCTTTATTAATATTCTTCTTTTCGAATCCCAAACCAAGAACTTGACCATTTAGCTAACCCGTCATAAGTTATAAATTATAATTACATTTTATTTGTCGAATGTAAATGTTAATATTGGATTATTAACTTGGTAGGTACTTAAACATTCTATTTCTCAATCTTAGGGGTCCATGCGTATTTTTTTAAACCTGAGGGGAGATCTGTTACTTTATTTTATATCTTACTTAAGAGGTCGTATGGTTCCAGTTATACTAAATTTACCTATTTATGTTCGATTCCTTTTAACTGATTATTTATTTGTGTTAATCGACTTGAAATAACAATTGGAATAATATTTCATTATTATGTGATCGGAACAAAGGATTCTCGTTAAACCACGATTTTGAATTCGATGAGAGATGTTAGGGAATGACAAATTGGAATAATATTTCAATATTCCGTGACCAGAAAAAAGGGTACACATTAGACCACTTCACGTCGGATGCATGGGCTACACAGTACAACTTTCATGATTTCCTCTCTAAAACTCATGGCAAGACACCATTTTTTTTGTTGCTCTTCCTCTTTCTTATAAGAGCTCACTTCTTCTTCCTCACCAAAAGTGCTTTTCTTCTTCAGAAGCAGAAGAGGGAAATGGCACTCAACAATACAAACAACAATAAGAAGAAGAGCTCTAATGGCTTGGTAATTTCTTAAACTTATTCCTCTTTGTTTCAGCACTTTTTTTTTTGTCCTGAGTTTTGTTTTGCCTAGTTTCTGTTTTTTGAAGCTTCGGTGAATGTAACATGATGACATGTAGTACTTGTGAACTTTAAGATGATCTTTTATTGTTAAATGAAACATGATTCCAAGTTAGAAAATGAAAAAAAAAAAAAAAAATTCGGAAATCTAGTCTCACGCTAACGTGAGCGTTGATAGAGAGGTAAAGATGGAGGAGGAAGAAGATGAGGATGACATTGTTGTTATCGATGTTAGTGGCAATTCTAATGGTGAATATGATGAAACTGATGATCAGGAAGATCGTATAGAAAAAGAGGAAGACGAGGAGGAGGATCCCGAAGAAGACCCCGAAGAGGATCCTGAAGAAGATCCGGAAGAAGACCTGAAGAGGATCCTGAACTTCTGGGGCTTCTCCTAGGACTTCTAGATCCGGAAGAAGATCCTGAAGAGGATCCTGAGGAAGACCCCGAAGAGGATCCTGAGGAAGACTCCAATGAGGACCCCAAAGTATTGTTTTAAAACCTGGACCGAAGGATAACTCGTTTTGCTGCCTGGGTCACGGGTCAACCAGTCCAACTAGTTGGACTGACCGGTTGGACCAATGACGTCAACGACAATTTTATTTTTTAAAAATTACTATTAATCCTTCAAATTTTAATATATTACAAAAAATTCTCCTTAAAAAGTTCAAATTAATCCTTAAAATTTTATTTATTTCAAAAATGTCCCAACAAAATTTAGTTAATCCCTAAACTTTTGATATATCTCCAAAACACCCTTATAATTTTGAAATATTACAAAAACCCCCCTAAGACCTGAACCGGACCCGAGAAGCTGCTGGGTCCCGATCAAACCGGTCCGGTCCCCTTTTTAAAATAGAGCCCCAAAGAAGAAGAAGACCAAGCAAAGAAGGATCAAAAAGAAGAAGAAGCATCAACTGTGAAGCATAGGGGCAAAACGAATGGAGGAAACGATGGTAAACATTATGTAATTCTTCTCTTCTTCATGTGAAGGTGTGATGGGATAAATATAACCTACAAGTTATTTTGACTTAGGAGGATCTAAGAAAAGGGCAGCTAGTAACAGAGGATTTGCACGAAGGAGTTGACATAAGTGATGATCTTCAATCGCTAAACCCTTACTTCATGGCCAAAATAAACACAAAGAAGAATTATGTTAGATCCCACATTGAAAGGGGAAAGGGTGGGCATGTGGATTATAAAGGTTTGGGCACCCTCTCTTGACAAGCTGGTTTTCCAAGGAGAGTTATACCCAAGCCCATGAAAGACCCATGGCCCAACCCAAAATTTTGAGTTATTAGAGTGAGTTCTTATCGATTGGTATCAGAGCATGATCATACACCTATGTGACAGCGCACACGTGGCAGGCTGACTTTGGGCCTGGGCTGCTACCCCAAAAAAAGGGCATGGAGGCCCGAGGAAAAGAGGATCCGCGTAGTCACCCAATGGGTAAAGAGGCCGACGTGGACGTCGGTTGCAGAAGCATGATAAAATGTTAGGATCCCACATTGAAAGGGAAAAGAGTGGGCATGTGGGTTATAAAGACTTGTGCACCCTCCTCCCTTAACAAGCCAATTTTCTAAGGAGAATTCTACCCAAGCCCATGAAAGACTCATGGCTCAGCCCAAATTGTTGAGTTATTGGAGTGGGTTCCTATCAAATTAGCACTTGGTAATCATCTTAGCTAATCCATAAATCCTAAAGAATTGACTTGAATTTTATTATTATATTTGTTTAGTATACAAATTGTCTTCATTCTGCAGCATTTTGCCGCAGAAGTCATAGAAAATTTTGAATTTGAACCAGCCGAAAACATTAACTTTCTCGACGAGTTCAAGCGAAAATGGCTAAGAAAGGTTGTCAAGTGGATAACTGGTCAAACAATGATTCACAGGTTGAAAGCCTTCTGTGAGGGGAATGATGTGAAGAAAGATGACCTTTGCATATAAAAATTTCTGGGAAGGGAAGGGAAGGGAAAAAGCAAGATATCACAGACGTGCAGATGATCCGAGGTCTTGGTTCAAGGAGCGAAGCCAAAACCAAATCAGACTAAAGTATCAATGCCAAAGCTTAGTATAACCATATCTAGAAAATTTAAGTTTCTAATCAGCTCTTCTGGAGTTACTAGGGTCTCAGGTTCCTATAGAACATTAAAAAGTGGCCATGAAAAGCATCAATATTAAGTTTCTGCTAGTGTCGATATGCCTTCCCTTCAGAATTAACGTCTTTTAGTTGCACAAATGTATCTTTCTCATCGGAAAGTTTAGATGCAAATTCAGATTTTTGCTTTACTAGAACACTTCAGTAAAATCAAGTAAAAGATATATAAAGCTGAATGGTGTTTAGTCTATTTAAAGGAGGAAAAAAAAAGCATTTACTACCCAAAAGAGAAATTCCTATTACATTTTTTGACAACAAGAACAAGTTAATATAACTCACTGTCGAGCAGCCACAACATTAAAATATCACAGCAAAGGTGACTGCAGCGGAAAAACTACACATTCTTTTTACAGAAGAAACTATTCATGTTTTACCTCACCACAATGCTTGCTGGTATAAATCTATTTCTTAGCACGACTAGCGAAATAGTTAAGGGCCATCCTCGAAAATTGGGTCAGCGAGAAAAACATTTGCAAGATCATTCGACCCTTAACGATGCCCTCCCTTACACCCCTTGCAGTTCTAGCCAGTACAGGTCCACCTGCATCAGGATTTTGGCTCGCTACCTCCTGCAGTGAAACTAATCAAGTAAAGACAGCATAAAATTAATGGTTCCAAATCGATTTTAGATTTCAGAATAACAAATAAAACTTGTAAATTATAAGAACCTGAACCTGATGGATTAATGTTAGGTGGAGTTATGTTAGTTAACCGTCGCAATCTCTCCTCAGCTAAGCGAACAGCTCTAGTTGAGCTCCTAACACCTTGGGTAATCTCCTGGCTGCACAAAAACACAAATAAGTCTGATTGAACTCATGAATCGGGATAGAATGGAATAAGCTTAATGCTAACCCTAAATCGCTAAGCTCCATTGTTAAGTCACTGATCTCCATGCCTGATAATCTGACAGCTGCCATTGTTTCAGGAAGCTCTTCCCTTGTGACATCCATCAACTTCTCTAGCGATTCTGCTGCTCTTCTGAAAGCCTAATTTTAGCATACAGCTTTAGAAAATCAACCAAGAAATAAATAACAACAAATCATCAAAATCTGCGGAAATCCTAATATTACATACCAGAAGAGCCGGAATCGCAGAGAAGAAGAGCCAGGTCGCTGAAACTGCTGCCTGCAAATAAATCCTCATTAATCTCAAAAAAACACTTGCAGTACTACTCTTACTCAAAAAGTACATTTTGGGGAAGTGCTTCTTCATAGAAATTTTCAAATATTCATAATTGATCTCAAAAAATGCTTTAACTTTCTCAACCAAACACTATAAATTAAAACAAAAACACTTTTAATTATTTGACGGCCCCTTCTTCTCGAAAAGCAGTTCTAATTATTTCAACCAAACACTAAAAAAAATGAAACAAAAACACTTTTAATTATCTGACGGTGCTTCTCAGAAATCGCTTAGAATGCTACTCTATACTCTGCAAGATACATTTAGAAAAACACCTTTCAAGGGCTTCTTCGAAGAAACAACTCTTTAAGCATTCATTATTGTCTCAAGAAAAGCTTTTAGCTATCTGAACCAAACACTATAAATTGAAACGAAAACACTTTTAATTATCTGAAGGTGCTTCTCAGAAAGCACTTAGAGTGCTACTCGTACTCACAATGTACATTTCCAGAAACAACTTTCAATTGCTTCTTCAAAGAAACTACCTTTAAGTACTCATAATTGATCTCAAAGAGCACTTTTATCAATCTCGACCAAACACTATAAATGTAAAACAAAACAATACCTCTAATTTTTATAAAAGTGTTTTTTAAAGAGGACTTTCAACTCTTCAACCAAACACCATAAAAACACAAACAAAAACAATCTTAACTATTAGAAAGCGCTTCTCAAAAAGCACTTTTGAATATTTCAATCAAACACTATGAGATCAGAAAAAAAAAGGTTCAATCACTCGAAACGCATTCTGCCTCAAAAATCAATCATATTACTAAAGCTTTAAAGAATCACAACAACTAACCGCGCAAGCGATGACATTGAGCACGACGACGTGGCGCTGCGTGAGGTTCCACTGTGAAACCTGAACAAATGACGACGACGCCGAACCGACTGACGACGTGTACCGAGACGAAACCGACGGCTCCGTTGAAGCCGCATACTCCGAGCGTACGGACAGCGAAGCGAACCGCCGAGATCTAACCGGAAGGCTCAGGCCGGACGGCCGGAGAAGGAGGATAAGCGAGGAGTCACCGTTTCGAGGAACGGCGGAGTCCCCGAGACCTGGAGCGTTTGGCCCCAATTTCGATGTAAAAAGCATTTCATTCACTCTTTCCACTCTCTTGACTGAGTGTGTGTAGTCGCAGCGGACGACTTAAACTGTTATGTCGGTTTTTTATTTTTTCTTTTTTTTTCAGCTTTTGCGATCTCCGACAAATGCCGGATTGGGCTAGTGAAAGTTTATTGGGCTTTTCCAGTTTTTAATTTCATGGGCTTGGGACACATTGAGAATTAATTAGAGATGACAACGGAACGAGTCGTGATAGGTCTTGATCGGATATATTTTTCGTCTCCACTTTCTGCTTTAACCTGTACTTAAAACATATACATCAAGCATTTAGATGAAAGAATTAATTAGAGATGACAATGAGTGACTTGGTCAGATATATTTTAACTTTGACCTATACTTTCGAGTCCTTTTTTTTTTCCAACCTAGGGCTCGAGTTCAGGTTCATGTGGAAAATTATCCCTATTCCCTGATGAAATATCTTGTGCACATTATCTTAACTTTCATCAACTTAACAACTAATACAGTTCAAGACTTTTTCAATAAATTACTTTTCCTATTAAAAGTTGGATAATATGTTGACTAGACGAATGAATACATCAAAATCCCTCTCTTGAAATCCTTTATAAACTACCTATAATTAGGCCAAAAAATTATAGAATTCGAGTTGCCTCTTGCCATTTGATTTTATGCGACAATGTAAAATATTATACGAATATATTTTACAACCTCTACGTTTTAGTTTACAAGTTTCTCGTTAAATTCGGTCGATTCAATTAATGCCTTCACTTTCTTCATTTCAATTACTAGATAGTGACTTTTATAAAATGTCCAGTCCAGTGGGGAGATAAAGGAGACCAAGAAAGGGAGAGAATTGAAAGATTTTTCCTTTTGCCATTTACATCTCATATTTACAGAATAATGCCCTCAACTTCCCCTACAAAAATTCCTTAATCACCAACCCCATTATAAATTTCCCACCCCCCTTCCCTTATACTCTATATTATACCTAGAAAATACCATATCATATACACATATACTTTATCTAATTCCAGCTTCTTAAATTCAATTATCAACTACCTTTTTTTATAAATTTTTCTTCTTTTCTTTTTTTTGTCGGTTTTTCTTGAGCGAATATCAATGAGATTTTCGATATTCAAGCTTAAACTACAACCATTCATCGGTTGGGAATCCAGGATGGTTGGATAATGCTGGGAGCCTAAAATGATTGGGTTGGAATTTTAAGCTGTCTTCTCACTGACCTTGATGACCTCCCCGACAGTTGCGTTGCAGAAGAAGCATCGGACACAGTTTAGAAGATGTCGGCTTATGCAGCCGTAGCAGGACCTGTGGGAACAAGGCACAAATTGTGCGTCCGCTACAGTTGCATAACAGATGCAGCACATGCCATCATCGGCATCTGTGACTGTCCCGGATCTAGTCTTCTCAATCTCTTGTGTCTCAATCCGGCAAAGGACAAGGCCCAGGAAACACTCTAGCTGCCTTAGTTTTGTTAGATATGCATCTCCTCTGAAGGATCCAGCCTGGTAAGATGGTAATAAACAGGATAATAGGAACAATTAGAAGATCTGGGGAATACTGAAAGACACGCATTGCTTCAGCAAAAAAATAATCAAAATTGAAAAAAGGCATCTTAAAGAATGAGCAATTCATGCACATCACACACACTGTGCCGAAAGGAAGAGACTAAAGGTGGCAAGTACTCACCCAGTTGTGCTCTAGTAAGTATTGGAATCCACAGTGAATGGTATCGGGGCAGTCCATGCTTGAAAATATGCCCACGACATCATTCTTCCCGATGCTTTCTGGCTCTGTACTTGCATCCAACAAATTCAAGATGATACCTACAAGGGGGGCTAATATGGTGCCTCGGTTGACTTTCTCTGAAGATTGACCATTCCGTCTTAGTGACCTGCAGTGTAAAACACCATAATATGAGAAAGGCATGAATTGGAAAATAGCCAAGCCAATGAGAACAAATTAAATAAGCAGTTCTGACACAAAGTACATACCAAAACACCATTGAAAATGAACATGTATATATACCCTTATTGATAATTATAACAGGTATCATAAGTTTAATTGAGAATATAAAAAGGAAAATAATACGAAGGGTGGGAAAAGAACAAGAACTTACAAGTCAAAAAACTCAGTGTCAGCAGCTGAAGTTATATGGTTTAGAATAAATACAATCAACTCAGTGAGCCTTCGGAGGTTTGTATCGCTTCCTGAGAGGAATGCTTGAGGGATCTCATGGGTACAGAACTCCAGAACCCTAGCTAGATTGCATGAGAGATCAAATATGACACAGCATTTCCTTTGCTGAAAGTCTGAAACCTGCAAAGAGTGCTGTGCGTTTCTTAGTCAAGAACATATATTGTGTTCGTGTTTCCTTTATTCGTCCAGTGATTTATTGTATCTTAAGTCGAGACTATTCTTACCTGGTATTTTTCTTGCATTTCTCGGACAGAAACTGAGAATTCAGTCATTGTCCAGCTGAGAGTGTTAAATAAGCGATTCAGAAAAGCTGAGAATAGCCCTTCATCATTGATACAGGCTTCACGAAGTAGTCTCTGTACATTAGAGAGAACAAAAGAAATCAATTATCAGAAGTTACAACAGACGAGAAACAGAAAAAAATACATAACTATGATTCATTTGTTCACCTGGAAAACAACTGATGAAGATGATGATTCTCCATGCTTAGAAGAACCAAAGCCATAACCCTTGCACAACCGCAGAAGAATGTTAGTTACTGGAATCCAGGAACGGTTATCAAATGCTGACAATAATGCTTTTGGCATTCTCAGAGTGGCTGCCTCATTGTTCTCAAAAGCTGACAAATATTCTTTATACTGAACCAGGACAGATATAGATTGAAGAAGAAGATCTCTCAGGTCTGCACTGGATACCCTTGGATCATTGAAGTGGGTTACTACGAAAGTGACCTAAGCAACAAAAAACCAAACTCAGAAACTGAGGAAAAGTAGTCATCTAATGGTAGTTAAAGATTTTGTAATCCAATCCAAAACGAGTAAATGTAATAATCTTAGTTTCACAAGAACACAAATGTCAAATTCTGCGTAATAATTTCGCAAAACCTACAGAAACCCCCCAAAATCATAAATAGATGCACATGTGATCTTTTTCTCTAACTATTAAGATTGTCCATGGTGTAATCTTTTTTTTTTTTTAGGCTAGGACATCTACTGTGTAATGTTCGAATCTAAAACCCATTACCTGATTTCCAGCAACAGGTTATATAAGACTTCTACCAAACAAATGTTCATATTTTTTTATCATGTCTGTCAGGCAAACAGCAGATAAACAAAAATAACACAACAGAGAGATCAAAAGATGAGACATACAAATGAAGCAAGTCCTTGCTTGATGAATATTGCTGAAGGCACAAATGGTGGGTCACTCTTTCGTAAGACATGAAAGCAATCAACCTGAAAGGATAATCAAGTTAGAAATTTAAAACAACCTGAAAGGATAAGGCAAAAATGCCAGAAAAGACATAGGACATACATGGTCCTGATACAACATTCAGTCAACAATGTAAAACACTTTGTTTGAATTCTACCACTCACAAAGGTTTTACTAAGTATGTGACCAAGAAGAGATTTCTAATGATGAATAAGAACAATAATATACCTGCTCCAACCCCCAACGCAAGTAAAAAGGCAAACACGCATATATATATTCTCATGAGAAAACAATTTTTTGCGTACTTTCTTTTTAATTGATACACCAGTCCATATGTATGATAGATGATTTACCAGAGCTTCAAGGTAAAATTCTGGGATATATATGAACACCAAATCCATTTTGCTAAGAACCAGAAGCAATTGCACAATCCACATGCATGCTGCGTACATTCCTCTTTGCTTCCACCGAGAAAACAGGGAAACGCGATACCTGGAAAGCATGAGAAAGGGATATATGGAATCTGAGAATGCAGAGAAGCAATAAATTAAAAAAACAAAAAAAAAATCTAATTACAAGGGAATTGCCATTTCCAACAAAGATGTTTTCCAAGAATATTAACAATCTAAGGTTTGCTTCGAAATCCTAACAAATAGAACATCACATCAAGAATGCCACCTTGGAATGCAATCTATGTTTTACCATAATAATAGAATTGACCAGAAAACATGCTTACGCTATAGAATCAAAAAGTGGTAATAATGGTAATGGCAACAGTAAAAATGCAGTAGCTAGTCTGGAGAACTAGGGAAACAGTTAACAGGCAGTTAGGACAGAGTACGACTGAAAAGGGACATAAAATGTTTATGCAACAATATGTAGTTATGCAGCACCAATGAATTCCACTAAATTGTACTTCATGACCAGATCCAAGTGGAGGTGCGGCCTAACACTAAAAGATAAAAACATAATCTTGAAAGATAATATATATCTATCAAATCGAAATCAGGTTAATCAAGATCTAATTATCTTCATTTCAGCCAACATACATACACAGAAGCAAGCTCAAGTCACAAGCATCATACTGGCACCATATCATAACAAAGAACACATAATGCATTACAGAAGCATAATCAAAGCTTTTTAGAAAGAGTATACGGCGGGCTTGTGGAAGCAACATGGAAACATGTATCATAGAATGTCTAAAGTCGCCTATCAAAGCTTCAATACATCTCAATGTTAGAATCTTAATATGACAATAAACTAGAAAACTACCTAAAAAAATGATACAAAACCATGATGGGATAGAAGACTCCTTAAATTCAAGAAACAATTCATATCTAAAATAATTCCTTGAGAATTTCATTTGTTCACTGGAGAACTTATATCAAATTATCACCCCTAGTGTCAATCAGAGAATTGTATTGTCAAAGATTATAGTCGAAGAAACAGATTCCAACTCAGGAATACAGATTTTCAGTAAACAGGAAGACATATGGGTCAGTGTTGTTTCCTTAAAACCTTCAGCCAAAAGCAGAACGGGTGAGGTGTGGAATGCTGATAATGTTCAATAATCAACAGACTTAGACTGAGAGAAATGTGAAGTCCACTATAATTTAACAAGCTCTTCCTTGGTCATCTTACCATGTACAATGCCTGACACAATCGATAACATCGTCACGATAGTTATTACGAGCCTCCTTCAAGCGCTTTAATTGCTCACTGCAAGGTCGTTCTCTTATTTGTTTATCAGTTTCTTCCAGGAGAGATATTGACTGTGATTGATGAGACATGTAATTTGATGCCTACAATTGGGAAGAATTTCTTTCAGATCTTACACAACAATTAGAAAAACAAACTGCTACCTGTGGAACAACCCACAGGTCAGGTTAACTGGAATAAAATAACTAATAATTATTCCAAGAAAATGTCCAATTCAAGATATGCAGAACTTGACAACAGCAACACATCACACAAATCACCATGGAACTAGTTTCACCAAATGAGAACATAAAAAGCCATTGCACATGAAAACCAACCAAATAGAGGAAAATCAATTCCCAAGTCAACAAATCATCCAATTACGTTCAAGACCAGAAATGCTGAAATACTTATGCAAATAATGCAATTTGTTGACATCATTATCATCATTCAAACATGGTAAACCAAACAAAACACCAAGCAATTCAGAAACACCTCCTTAGATGTTCAGGAATCATCTATACAAGATTTTGACATCAGCTTTGTGATTCAGACTTGAAAATCATTTTGTTCTATTTTTTCAAATAATAGAAGGGTAAAACAAAATGACATCAATAAATGCAATCCATTAAGTTCTGTTCCTCAGATAACCTACATTAATCTTTTCATAGAAAAATTATTATGCTTCATCACAAGGTGTGCAATCATTAAGTCCTTAAAATTAGAGACAAAAGGCAAGAGTTCTACCATTTTTTTCATTCCAAATGCTTTACCATAATAGCATTCACACTGCATTTTAGAGTTCCAAAATTTCAAATCAACCCAAGTTGTGTCACCAGTAAGATCAAAACATACAAGGGGCACCAACTAGCACAACTAGCAGTGATAAAAGGATTCAATGGACAAAGTAGACCACTTATGAATTAACTAAAAAAAAAAAAAATTTACCCCGGAATCATCTCACCTGCTTAAAGTTTGGCGCAAGACCTACATGATACAACAACAGCAAAGCATCTAGAAGCTCCTCCTCTCTAAGTGTAGTTGTAGACGTATTGCTCTCTCTTGGTACAATCCTNAGTCACAAGCATCATACTGGCACCATATCATAACAAAGAACACATAATGCATTACAGAAGCATAATCAAAGCTTTTTAGAAAGAGCATACGGCGGGCTTGTGGAAGCAACATGGAGACATGTATCATAGAATGTCTAAAGTCACCTATCAAAGTTTCAATACATCTCAATGTTAGAATATTAATATGACAATAAACTAGAAAACCACCTAAAACAATGATACAAAACCATGATGGGATAGAAGACTCCTTAAATTCAAGAAACAATTCATATCTAAAATAATTCCTTGAGAATTTCATTTGTTCACTGGAGAACTTATATCAAATTATCACCCCTATTGTCAATCAGAGAATTGTATTGTCAAAGATTATAGTCGAAGAAACAGATTCCAACTCAGGAATACAGATTTTCAGTAAACAGGAAGACATATGGGTTAGTGTTGTTTCCTTAAAACCTTCAGCCAAAAGCAGAACGGGTGAGGTGTGGAATGCTGATAATGTTCAATAATCAACAGACTTAGACTGAGAGAAATGTGAAGTCCACTATAATTTAACAAGCTCTTCCTTGGTCATCTTACCATGTACAATGCCTGACACAATCGATAACGTCACCACGATAGTTATTACGAGCCTCCTTCAAGCGCTTTAATTGCTCACTGCAAGGTCGTTCTCTTATTTGTTTATCAGTTTCTTCCAGGAGAGATACTGACTGTGATTGATGAGACATGTAATTTGATGCCTACAATTGGGAAGAATTTCTTTCAGATCTTACACAACAATTAGAAAAACAAACTGCTACGTGTGGAACAACCCACAGGTCAGGTTAACTGGAATAAAATAACTAATAATTATTCCAAGAAAATGTCCAATTCAAGATATGCAGAACTTGACAACAGCAACACATCACACAAATCACCATGGAACTAGTTTCACCAAGTGAGAACATAAAAAGCCATTGCACATGAAAACCAACCAAATAGAGGAAAATCAATTCCCAAGTCAACAAATCATCCAATTACGTTCAAGACCAGAAATGCTGAAATACTTATGCAAATAATGCAATTTGTTGACATCATTATCATCATTCAAACATGGTAAACCAAACAAAACACCAAGCAATTCAGAAACACCTCCTTAGATGTTCAGGAATCATCTATACAAGATTTTGACATCAGCTTTGTGATTCAGACTTGAAAATCATTTTGTTCTATTTTTTCAAATAATAGAAGGGTAAAACAAAATGACATCAATAAATGCAATCCATTAAGTTCTGTTCCTCAGATAACCTACATTAATCTTTTCATAGAAAAATTATTATGCTTCATCACAAGGTGTGCAATCATTAAGTCCTTAAAATTAGAGACAAAAGGCAAGAGTTCTACCATTTTTTTCATTCCAAATGCTTTACCATAATAGCATTCACACTGCATTTTAGAGTTCCAAAATTTCAAATCAACCCAAGTTGTGTCACCAGTAAGATCAAAACATACAAGGGGCACCAACTAGCACAACTAGCAGTGATAAAAGGATTCAATGGACAAAGTAGACCACTTATGAATTAACTAAAAAAAAAAAAAATTTACCCCGGAATCATCTCACCTGCTTAAAGTTTGGCGCAAGACCTACGTGATACAACAACAGCAAAGCATCTAGAAGCTCCTCCTCTCTAAGTGTAGTTGTAGACGTATTGCTCTCTCTTGGTACAATCCTCATATGTCTTACTGGATGATAACCAAACTCGGATTCAGATTGATCACTGGTGCTAGGTTTATCCGCTATATCGTCATTCAAATTTCCAGCACTACACTCTGCAGCAACCTGAGCAGACCTTTCTGGATTAGGACTGCAATGGCCCCGAGAACCTTTAGCTGCATATCTAATTGGATACTTCAAGCTTCTGGAAAAATCAGCATCATAATTTGAACAGCAACATGGTTTCTGCTCAGTTAAATGAGTCACTCTAGTTTCTTCATCATCCATACAGCCTTCCTCCCACCGGATTACTTCAGCTTCTTGATCGTATACAGGATGAGACTTCAATAGATGACTAAATGAACCCCCAAGCCTTGAAATGTCAGCTCGGTGAGGATCATTCTTTAGAAACAAACCTACGGGAAAGCTTTGTTGACCACCTCTGTGCAGAAAACCAACATGACAGCCATCACTTTCAGAGGTCTTCAACCAGTTACAGCAATCCCCCATGGAGAACCCTTCAGATAGAAAATGAAGTATAACTGTATATAGAGACACAAGAACAGAGTTACTTGAAACTCCAGGAGGTGGCATATTGCGATCTGCTCCTCTGTTCTTCAATAAAATGTTCTGTATAAATGTCCTAAACACTGAACCCGGAAATTGGAGAGATGATATAGGTGGTATGAATTGCATGACTAAGAGACATAGCTCTCTATGCTTCTCTTCAATCTGCAAATTAATTACAAATGATTAAAATTAATTCTAGCCATGGATAAAAATGAAGAATCATACACCTAGGACCACAATATAATGATATTTCAACTAATGTAGTCCAAATAAGCTATTCTCTTTCTTCTTTCCAGAGGGAACATGAAAAATGATATTAATTAGAATGAGTTACAAATTAGAAAGGTGAACCAGGGACCCACATAAGAAGCAAAAGGATCAACAAATATAGGTATCTTAATCTATAGAATACCAATATACAGACTTCTGTAACCATATGTGAACTCGTGATAAAGATGCCCTTGACCCCTGTGGCAAAAACAGTCCACAAAATAAGCAAACTACTAAGAACACGTTCCCAACTCTAATTCCATATCTTCAGATTATTAGATCCAAGGGAGAAAAGGCACAATCAAATAATAAGTAAATACAAATATCTTATCATAGATAGTCAAAGAGTATCTGAAACACCAAAGTTAGAAATTTTGGTTCTGTATAACAAGGGCATACCTTATTGACTCCTTCAGATAAAGCAGTGGTCGTCAACATCATGCTACTTTCATAGGACACATCCTCACATGAACCAGGCCACCAAACAGAAGGCATCATGCACTGAAGATCCTGCCTATTTGGACTCTTCCTTGACAGAAAACCTTCAAAAATGAATTCAAAATCTGATGATTTCCACCATAGCACCATCAATTCCTCTCTTCGTAAGATATGGCATACCAGTGCAAGATAAGGATATGATCCTGAGTACGGGCATTCTGTAAGAACAATTGATGCTGTTTTGCAACCACATGAAAGTGCATTCAAAATATGCTCAAACATCACATGTGAATCCTGATATTGCAGAAAGACATCCACAACTCTATCCAAACTGGAATAATCATGTGGCACCTGTACTCCAAACACCTCCATCATGAATGACACAACTATACCCCAGCTCACATACTCTATACTCCCCATATCAGCCTCAAGCACAGAGAAGAACTCTTCACATATCCCATGTGAAACAGGATAAAATATTTCTTCAAGTGAGACAAACCTCTTCAGGCTCCTAGATTTCTCAACTGAAGAACGTTCAGCCCGCTCCATTCCTAACAATCTTGATAAGCACTGCAGCAATTGGGTAGCGCAAGCATTTACAGAGGGAGGTTCTTGAAGGGGAAGGTAACCATTGATTTGATATCTAAAGGGGTGTGCCCCAAAGTTCAACTTACACCTTTCACCTTGAGAAAGAGAGATAGCAGGATAATAACCAGATCCAGGTCCCAGTTTGCGAATACCAGAAAATGCCACTCCAAGTGAAACACCATTCCTGTAAAAAGAAATCTCATTACAATCCAAATCTATGCAGCATCCAATGATGTCACCAGCAACCCATGGTTGGCCATATATCTCAGCTTCCTTATTCCATTTCTTTACCCTTCTACCATCAAAGGCATAAGAATCATCAGCATCACCTACACCCTTATGATCAGTGAAAGGGCAAGTAACAGTTGCCCATCCAAGCTGCTGTATCCCTGAAGTCTCTAAAGTCACTTCATACATCCATTTCCCCTTCCAAACGCGAACATTACCTCTTGCACTACTAAACATCGCAAAGCTCTCTAAAAGTAAAGGTGACTTAACAATTCTAATGTCACCACAAATGCTGACTTCTTCAAGACCAACAATTTGGGGTACACTACCATTATCCACAGCAATCCCATCTCTGTTACTGACAGAAGCTTCTGAATTTACGTGATATTTCAAAAATTCATTCTTTAGGATAGATCGGACTACATTCCTATCAACTGAAGAAACCAATGGACCAAGTGATTTGTTAGGCAGGGCAAATACATACTCAAGAGTCCGCTCCACAGACTGATGGCCTAAATCATCACAACACGAAACAAAGTGGGATCTCGACGAATTCTCTTTCCCATCCTCACCATTCAATATCACAGCCAAACCAGAAGAAAGCCCACCAATCCGTAGGCCGTCTTCTGCCATCCGCAATCACAAGCTAACACTAGCTCCCAATTCCACAAGCAACGCCCCCAAAACTATCCTAAAGAAGTAAAGATTCAAATTCCCAAACAACTCTAAATTCAGAAACAAGCTTCAACACAAACACTACCTTTCCAAAAAACCCTGCAGATACTCCACCTTCCACATCATACCCTGAACACTCCAAAAAAGTTCAACACGCAACAAAAAACCATTAAAAATCATATAGAACAAACATCCAAAAAGCCTTAAATCCTTCAATTTCAGAAAAAAAATCACACCACAAACAAACAAAATCTCGCATTTTTCATTCTAATTCCTCAAAAAAAAAACACTAATTCCCATAACTATAATAATAAAAATCACAAACAATCAACACTAATTAATTAAATCTACAACTTCAGAAAACTTCACATTTCTCGTTCAGCTAAAAAGACACCGCGTTTAGACTAATTCACAAAAACTCCTACAGTTCTCACCAAAATTCAAATTATAGTTCCAACACAATCAAATCCTTCAATTTCACAAAACTAACACGAAACTTCACATTTCTCCTTCCACCAAAACAAGGTTGGATACTTATCTCTTCAAACAAACACTAATTTACATAAACTCCTTAAAAAAAAAAAAAAAAAAAAAAAATCAAAAATAGTTCTAACACAATCAAATCCTTCAATTTCACAAAACTCACACGAAACTTCACATTTCTCATTCCTCCAAAACGACGCCGCCTGAGATTCTTATCTCATCAAAACAAACACTAATTCACATACACTCCTTTTCAAGAAACAAAAAAAAAAAAAAAAAAACCACAAAACAAATTCAAAGTTTGAATGAAAGAGAAACTAATCAATCAAACAAATACTTACAACGATGCCCTTCCGTCGTGCTGCTCTTATGTTATTGTAACTTTGAATTTCAATGGCGGCGGCCAAGCGCTAGGGTTTCACGCGCCATTAAAATAGAGAGAGAGAAATGAAGAGAAAGCCTTTGTTGAGAGACGAGCGAGAGAGAGAGATTTGTATTTCAATTTCTTTTAATTGTAATTTTTTTTTTTTTGGAATTTTAAAAGGTGTTGGGATTTTTAAAAGTTTAATAACCGCCTGAGGTATAATTAAATGACAAAAAGCCCCCTTTTATTTTAATATTATTAAAATTCCTATTAAATTTTTTGTCAAAAAAAACAGTAATATTACACTCACAAACTCTTCTTACTAATTTTCTTTTACAAACACAACATGTCAACTCGTAATTGATCAACTTACAATGAGTTATGTTTGACCAATTGTGAATTGTTACGTAAGCGATAATGAGAGAAAGTTATAAAAAGTGTTTGTCAACTTATATTTATTTCAAAAGAAACCATTGAGGGGTAATATGGTAAAATAAATTATCATGTTATAAGTTCTATTACTGATGGTACACCATTGTCTTACTAACAATAGGGTAATATTTGTTATTTCTGAAATATCAAAGGAACAACTTTATATCACTAAACCTCAGGGGGCTTGATGAAAACCCCTTTTCTAAAAATCGCCAAAAGGTTCGGGGGGAGGGGGTGACTGGCGAGTCAGGTCACAGGTCCAGGTTTTGTGCAGGGGAGAGACATTGAGGATTGGACAGACACGTGGCGGTAACCCCTTGGGAGTTACCGGTGGTGACGTGGCTTGCTCTGAGTGACGATGCTATCAACACCGCTCGCTCCACCGCCTTTTGTTATTTTAACGGCTTTTTGGGTTTTGCCGTTACATCATCATCGTCGGTCATCACCGCTGGCTTTCTTTCTTTACTTCTTCCACCGCCGTTTGTTGCTTAACGGCTTTGTGGGTTATTGCCGTTACTGTAACTCAGCCGACCGCGGGAGATGGTAAACAATTAATGATGAAATAGTCTAACTAATTAAATAATAGATAGTATTCAAACTAATTAAATAATAGATAGTATTCAAACTAATTAATTACTTGAAGGTATTATACATTGAATAGACCTATGTAATTTATTACACATATTTGAATACAGAAATTGACAATAAATGTGCTTCTACATGTAGACATCTCAAAAAGTATATTATATTTTAAAATGAAATTTTTTTCTTTCAATATTTTGATTTTTAACTATAAGATTACAAGATAATATAAAAAATTATTTAAATATTTTAGGCACCCATCAAGATAACCCATTTCATTATGAATTGGGACCTTGTGTTGAGATTTAATTAAAATAAAAAAGTAATATTTAAAATGTTTTTATTTCTCAATTTTAATTCAAAATTTAGGCTCTAATTGTCCATGTTTAGATGGTAATTAAAACATTAAAAAATATTATTTTACTATTTCAAACTTTTAATCGAATAATATATCAAAATATTTGTCCTTAAATAAAGAATGATACCTTAAACCTTTTAGTTTTGATTGAGTATTTGTTTATTTTTTAAAGCAAATTAATTAATAATTAGTGCATAGAATTAGAATAAATCTTTTAAAGAAGAATCAAATTTAAACAATATAATCCCTGTTTTATTTTATTTTATTTCTAAATCAAGCAATTCTAATTAAACGCATCCAATACAAAATATAGAATCCAATCTAAAGTGAATGCACACAAAATTGCCTTTCACCATAAATATTGAAAATTAAAATATTAATATTAATAATTAAAACTTTGTTCTATATATTCTCATAACCATTAAAAATATATTATTAAATTTACCAAAATGATCCATTTTTACACTAACCAATTAGAATGGCAAAAACCTAATACACTAAATAGAATCCAATGAAGATAAACAAATTCAATTCAATAAATATTCTTAAAATTATTCTCTTTTTTGTTGAGTTAGTAAATACACAAGAATTTTACCCTTCATCACAAAATAGCAAAAATTGAATTTACATGTATTTAAAACCAATCAATTTTTTATTTTATTTTTTTTTATGACCGGGAGAATCCAAGCCAGCTTGCGCACAACTCAACTAATCCACCCGAGACCTTGGAACTACCAGCCGGGTAAAAGCTCTAATGGCCACCCATATTAAGGGTCGTGGGGATTCGAACTCGAAAGACCATGTTAAATCCTCCTCTTTCTCTTTTACCATTAAGGGGACTTGAACTTAAGAGATCATATTAAATCCTCATTTGCTCTTTTATTATCAAGACACCGAGTGGTAATAAAAAAAAAAAATAAAAAAAAAATAAAAAAACCAATCAATTTCACATAATACTACTAAAATGTATCTATTTACACATAGAAGGAACTAATTAGGTTGTTGGTCATGTAAGATCGATCTATTTACATACACAAAGAATTAACTATGTCGTTGGTCGTGTGACATCAATTTATTTGCATAAAAAAGAAATTAATTATGTCCTTAACCATATAAAATCGATATGTTTACACATAGAAGGAACAAATTATATTGTTGGTCATGTAATGTTGATCTATATGCATGAAGAAGGAAATAACCAGGTTTTTGGCCTCGTAACACCAGTCTATTTGCGTACAAAATAAACTAACTATATTGTTGGCATATAATATCCGTCTACTTACACGCATCAAGAACTAAGTATGTCATTGGCTATATAACATCGATCTATTTACATATAAAAGGAACTAATCATGTTGTTTGCCATATAACGTTCTTGGATCAACAAAACCCATTACACCGGTAGAATGATTCAATAATCAATATCAATCTAATAATATTACCAAAAGAACAGTTAAATCTCGCCCTACATAAATTTGATATACACAATATTATGCTTTAAAAACTCAATCGGGAATCAACCAATTCAAGTTAAAAGCACCACTAGAATCTAATCTAGATAAGGTTAAAATACTGTCGAAAATTCTTCAACTATTTATCCCTTTCCTGTCTTCATTGTTCATTGGTTGATGGGGCAGGGCAGGCACATTACATTTTTATGAGCCCACCAAGTGTTCGGGTAAATGCGCCAAGATTTCTGTTTACCTTTTTGCGGTGATATTCCTTTGGCGTCAACTCATGTGCGCGCCACACGATGCGCGCCCCTATGATGCGCACTAGAATTTGAAAGCCCTTTTGTGATTCCACCTACCTATTTGATTTTGTTAACTACATATAGGTCCCTTAAAATTTGGAATGGACTTTTTAATCCACTATAAACAAGAAGTAATACTTTAATCCCTCAAAAGTCAAAACACAATGAACTTCATGGTCCCTCCATAACTAGAATTAGGGTTTGCTTGGTACTTTTCCTTTAAATAGAGCTTATCGGGAATTCCAGTTCACAATAGCATTATCTATCGTGAATTTCAATTTCACTTTGGGAGGTTTGCATATATTTACTTTTGAGTTTCATACAAGTGGCTTTCACCAAAAATGCATTTACTTAGTTAAAATTAGTTAAAAGAGAATTCAAATCTTATAAACTGAATCATAGACTTATACGCTAACAATATGGAATATAACAGTAAATCTTATAAAAATAAAACTTTTATAGAAAAATGGTTAGATATTTGGATTTAAAAATATAAAATAGTTTAGTGTTGAATTACTAAAAAGAGTTTTAATATAAGAAATAATCGAGTCAAATTTATAAAACATTATAATGATATTTTGATATTTCAAAACTTTTAATATACTGGAAAAGAACTATTGGATTTCTCTAAATAGATATAAAACAACTTATTTAATAATCCATAAGCATTGATAGGGATGTAACCAAACCACAAGAATTAAATTTGTTAACAAAAGCATTTGACATTAGAAAAACTGTTTTTACTAATATGTAGGCCAAACTAAACGTTTACTAATATGCTTTGATATTTCCCAAAAAAAAAAAAAAAAGTATTAAAGCTTTATTTTCTAAGTCTAATGAGTTAAAGTGTTACCAATCTAAACATCGGGGACCTCAATATATTTATCCCTCACTTGATTTTGAGTTTGATTCTTTCGTGGTCACCAAAGTGCCCACTTGGTCATTGTACAAAAGACTATTCCTTGGGGCACCTTTTCCTTTTCCTATTTGGTAGTCTTTTGTCTACTCTTCTTTGTCTTACACTTTTTGCAACTTTGAAGTACTATCATGTGCTTAAAAGTGGGGCTTACGAAAGTAACCATTTTATAGAGATTTCCTTTTTTTTTTTTTTTTTCTTGAAACAATTTTAGGGTTTGGTTTATTCAAAACAGGCTTA